TCAAAGCAACAGAACTCTAGTCAATCAGCAAATGTTTCCTTAACCCTCATTCTGCTGGGCACTGTGCTCTGCACCTGGGACACAAAAATGAAGAAAGTACAGTCATTACCCTTGAGGAGTCCACTGTCTAACTGGGAGCAAATAAATGCATGAACGATGAGTAAGTGATTAGTGCTGCAACAGACAGATGCACCAAGTCCAATGGGAACACAGTTATTTGTAGGGTAAGTTTCTTACAGAAATGCCCTCAGAATTCCTCATATTTTTAGGTTTTATTTCTTCTTTTTTTCATGTATATAATATCATGTTACATGGATTTCTGTATTACATTTACATAAGTACTTATTTATTCATTGTGATGAGAGATTTACTTCCTGATAGTTTTACTTGGTTATTAAAAGGAATAATTTTTCTTTGATTCTTTTTCTTCTTTAGTTAGAAAGGGGGCTCAGGAACAGAATGTTCTGCAGAGTGATAATTTAACTATACTATAAGTCATTTACTCCGAATCGTCTTCAGTTGTAAGAAGCAACATTATTTTATACGCATTTAAGAAAGAAATCAAACAATGATGTACTACTGATGAATCCCAATTTCAGAGATGCTCCAATTTGAAAAACAGTATCTTAAAACCTATTCTCTCACTGTATAAAAATAAGAACCTTTTTTTAATTAAAATAAGTATTTCCTTTGTTTCAGTCTGTGAAGGTTTTCATCTTCTCTTAGGTGGAAGACAGCTTGGAACTATCATTCCAGGGAAAAGATGACGTAAAACTTGACATTTTTTTCTTCTATGAAGAGACTGACTATATGTGGAATGGAGGCACTCAGGCCAAAACAGGAAAAAAATTTAAGTATGAATCAGATAAGTACTTATACAAAGGGCTATAGATATAACTTCAGAAGGTAGAAATCAAGAAGTAACCGAAAATAGGGGGAAAAACAAGACTGTCAAGGCTCTACTGTTGGCTGATTCTTTTTCTTCTTACCCATAGAGCCCAGGTTTGCTTAAGAAGTGAGGACTACTTATAAAGAGAGTCCATGAGGATTTGTCAGTCCAAATAGGCATTACAGTTAGAAACCCTTGAGTTATCAGAAAGGGAAAGCCAAAATAAGGAACAGAAAAATCAAGCCCTGAGCCTGAGCCAAAACTGATTGGCTGTTAGAGCTGTAGGAGCTTGATAATTTGATGGGAGTGGTAAGGGTCAGTGATAAGGAGATAGTCAAGGTGAAAGGAAGTTTAACTGAAGAAATTGGGATTGAATGGAGCTGAGGTCATGAATGCTGAGCAGGCTCTGGAGTGCCTTTAGCAGAGACCTAGGGCTAATCCTTTAAAGGATACTCACCAGGCTTAACAGCGACCATATTGTCAAACGTAAGGTGATATCGTAAGATATACCATTATTTTATGTTCAGCCAAGAAAGGAAAGACACTGCCAATTATAATCTTAAGGCACTTGATTCAGATGGAAAATTGCAGTGGGTAGAGTATCTCAATTCTGAGTCAATTGATGGAACACAGTATGCTAGACTGGCATTTTGAACATTTTTTTTAATGCTGCCACAGTCAAACTCCTGGATGACAAAAGACAAAAATGACATTAGAGGAACTCTGTACCCTTTGTGATGCAGTTGGTCTATTTTCAGTTCTGAGAGAGAGAGAGAATGAATGGGAAGGAGAACCCAAAGAGCATCGGCTCGAGTCAGACATACCTGGGAAACCTCAGCTTCACCCTAACCTGTGGCTGTGAGCTTTTATGAACATTAATCTCCTCATGCATTAAATTTGAGTAGCACTACTGTGTCAGACACAACGATGAGCATTTAGCATGTACTGACACATCTAATCCTCATAACAACTGTACTCTGTGAGCCCCTGTGAATGTAAGTCATTTGTGCAACATCACAGTGAGCAGGTGAAGGAGTCAGACAGCAGCCTGTCTCTAGAGTTCATATTTTTAATCACTACCCCCACTGCCTCCCTAGTATACCTGACAGTATGAGGCCCTTAGCATCACGCTTACCACTTATTATCAGCAAATGGTGGTTGCCATTGTTATTATTTAATACTGTTAATATTATGATTGCTAATATGATTACTATCATTATTGCCATTCTTTTGGTGGTTATGTGGCCAGTAGTACAAACTTAACCTCAGTAGTACAAACTTACCTCACCAAGTAGCTGAGATTGGAGCTTCTGTCATTGAATAAACTTGAGCCACTGGGCACAGTGGGGAATGTTCTTTAGCACAGAAGAGGAATTCCAAACTCAGACTGGTTTCTCTTGGGTACATAGACACACCCTACTGGGATCGCTGAATCTTTATGTGAAGGCAAGGAGTCTCCGTGCAAGGTTAAATTTGTTCTGCAGGTTTGAGAGTAATCCAGACCCTTTTCTTAATGTCATAAAGGGTCCACAAATTGACAGTGACCCGAGAGAATATTCTTGAAACTTATTTATCATAAGAAATTATTTTGCTTTATGATAACAAACACTGTCATACTAAGTGCTGATTATGAGACAGAAATTAGTAACTTAATGAATATATAATTGGCACTCTCACTGTGGCTTAGGTGAATGGATTTCTGACATTTAGCTATAGTTTGCTTATTCAAAATATGACAAAGATGCCAAATTTAATATATAACTTAGAGGCATTTTTTTTCCAGCTATAAGATAGTATAGCATAGAAATTAAAGGCATGGAGCCAGCTTGCTTTGGAGCCCGGCTCTCCATTTTACCAATAATGTTACCTTGGGCAAGTTATTTAACCTCTGTACCTAAGTTTCCTCCAGTGTAAAATGGGAGTAATAATAGAAATTGCTATATAGAGTGATTTTGAGAACTAAGTGACTTAATACACAAAAAGAATTTGAAGAGAATTAAGCATGTCCTGAGTGCTAAGTAATTATTAGCTGCTATTATTAATATTCTCAACAGTAGTAGTAATAGTGAAGAAAACTATTCCTCTTTTTAGTCTTATGAGAAATTTATAGATCAGAAACCTGTATAATTATCTCTATATTAAACTGCCACATCTTTTCTTAGAGAACTCATATGAAAATGTCACCTTTGTTCTAAGAAAGGTAATTTCTAGAGCTTGTATTATAATCCTGTTATTCTTAAATTTTCTACCTCGACTTAGTTTTCTTTCTTCTCACGGACACGATCTCATGTCAAACCTCAAAAGAACTGCATTTCTAACCACTACATCTCTGGCTAGAAAAAGCTTCTTTCATTCTGCTTTAACTGCTCTTTATGGTAGCAGTGTTTGGGAAGTGTGAAGTGTTCTGATTATTTAATGAGAGAAATGAGCAGTGATAGAACTGTCTGGACAGATGGTGTGAGTCCCAGATTTTCTATCATGTTACCATGACCTTAAAAGGCAGAGAAAAGAACAGGGGGTGGTTGTGTAGAGTAGTTTCTTTGGAAGATTTCCCCCAGCCATATGCCATTTTCATTCTTTTCAGCACTATTTACTTTAAGGAACTGTTGAATTTTCACCACTACTATTCCTAGAGGGGGAAAAAATCTTTAAAGCTAGTCTAAGGGTCTTTTTGTCTTTATAATATTCTACTTTTCATTCATGTATAGATCATCCTGAGAAAAAGCACAATGATAGTATAGAAATGCTTACTATTTTTAAAAAAGCTGAACTCAGGAAGGAAGGAAAAAAGTTCCCCCTTCAAAACTGTACTCTTTCTGCCTGCAGAATGATGTTTTTGGTCATAAGATTTAATAATAGTTTCAATATTAATGGAAGTGATTAAGCTGTGGCTACCAGGGTGTCTGCTGGAACCAGGCACTGTGATAGGTACTTGATGTTTATAATCTCAGATCATCCTCACAGTATCCCTGTGGGTTAGGTATTCTCACTCCCAGTTAGATATGAGGAAACTAAAGCTCACAGAAGTGAAGTAGCTTGCTCAGTATCCTCTGATCATGAATGGTAGGGCCAAAATTTAACTCTAGACCTGTTGAATTCTAAGCCTGAATGCTTTCTTCTAAGAGTTAATAGGTTAAATGAGTTCATACATGGAATGCGTAACAGTAGCTGGCACGTAGTAAGTACTGTGTAAGTATTAGCTACAGCTGCAACTGTCATTACTGTATTAGCATCGTGTTACTGTTAGTACTACTGTGTTGCACTGGCACAAAGCATAGTACTTCCAGCACAGGGGTAACTTGGATTAGTTACTCTGGGCAAGCATTTTCTTCCCAGGCCTCATATTCCCTCCATTTTCAGTTCATAGTCTAAATCTGTTCTTTCACCTAAAATCTGAATTGCATTTAAAAATATTGTCTAAATTTTTAAATACTTATTTTTCTCCTCCAAGTTCTAATCACCAGTAATAAAAAGTGATGAATATATTAACCATGCCTCCAGAATGTGAAATTTTCATTCCACAACTTCACAGTTCTTACAGATGCTGCCCAGATTTCTTTGGGTTATTTCTTTCCTTCCCATCTGAATCAACTGATGTAAGTAGAGGCCAGAAATTTGAGAGGCAATAATAATGGTGATAATAAAAATTAACTTTTATTGAATATTTACCATGTGCTATGCACTATGCCAAGCTTTTACATGCATCACCTCATTTAACCCTCACCACAAGTTTATAAGGGAGGTTTTATCGTCCCCTGCATTTCATGAATGAGGAAATTAAGGCAGAGTTAAGACTCAGACCTTGGGCCATATCACTTCAGATCCCATATTCTTACCCACACCCAATGTTAGTGTCACCACGACCTCTATCATACCTGTTAATTCTCCCTCTGTGAAAATAGCCCTTCTATTTATTGACATTGTCAGAGTAACACAGCTACCTCTGTATCCTCTAACAGGAAAAACACTACCCCCGGGGCTAGTTGTGGGTTCCTTAGACCTTCTGATACATGCAGTTTCATCTATACTTATTGTATAGATCTTCCAAAATTCAGGTTTGTCTTCTTTGGTACGGGAGTCACCGAAGTATGGCTCCAGTATAATTTAACATATCATTTCTGCAAAGTTTGTTTACTAACTGCTATGTGCTAAGGATTCTGATAGTGTAACTTAGTTTCTGCTCTCAAGGATCTCCTAATCTAGACCATAAAACACATCCTGAAGTACTCCATCAGCAATTCAGTAATTGAAGTAGGTGTCATGAATAGTGAAGATACCAAATCTACTCTATCTAGAAACAACAGCAAGGGTGTGTGGCATAAAAAGAGAGAAGTTTGTTAGATAGACTTAGGAGGACTATAGAGAAAGGTCTAATAGTGGGTTTACTGAAGTATTTTTCTATTTAGATTGTTCCCATTTTTTTAGTATTAAAAATTCTATAAGCGTCTTTGTACATGAAGTGAAAGCTTTATTAGGGATTATTTCTTTGACTAGATTCCTAGAAGTGGAATTATTACTATTGTTTGATTGTGTTGTCTGAGAAATAGAGAAGTAAGTGGGCCACGTTCTGATACGAGTAAAAGTACAAGACTTTATTGTCCTGCTTTTCCTTTGACTCCTTAACGCTCTTTGCAGCTGTACAGGCCTCCTCAGGCTTCTTTGTCAGCATGCTTTATTCTACTTGCCTTTTTCTCCTCCCTATTTTTTTAAAATAAACTTTTAATTTTGTGATAATTTTAGAGATAATTTTAGATTTACAGAAAAGTTATGAAGATAATGTAGATGAGTTTCTGAATGCAGTAACCCAGTTTCCCTAATGTTAACATATTATTACCGTGTACACTTGTCACAACCAAGAAACCAGCCTCAGTGCATTACAAATAACTGAACTCTAAACATTATCTGTACCTCACTGTTTGACTACTAATGTCCTTTCTCTGCTCTAGAATCTAATCCAAGATACCA